ACTAGAATAATAAAAATGGTTAGTCATAAACTTATTCATAAAAATCCATTAACATAATACTAAATCATATCACTAATTTATTAAATATTTATTTTAAATATAGCTTAATTTTAACAAAATAAATTATTAATAAATATATAAATAATTAACAAAAATTATAAACCACGTGCAATGCACGTGTCACTTATTGGTATAGTTAAGCATGTACATGAGAGACAAATCAATATAATCTAAATTTAATATCATTATTAGCATATATTAATTATTTATTTAAAGCACATATTTCATTTAATCACATAAATAAAATTACTAAATCATTCAATCAAATCGAGTTAATCACATTTAATCAAATATTATAGATCACATAAACAGTTAGGATGCAATAAATATTTACTAGTTAATTCATGAAATGAAAATTATCGATTTACTCAATATAATTTCATATAATATGCTTATTAAATTGCGGGGCCTTACACGGTTCATGTTCGATTTTAGCCAAAAATCGAACTGAATCGAGCCGTGCACACCCCTATTAATAACCATGCTAAAGAGTAACTAAATTTGCAAGATCTAAATCTAAACAAGATCTACTATCCTCGTGTTTCATTTTTTGTTGTTCCCTCTTCTCTCTCAGCTCAAAGAATACACTAAAACTCAGCTCTAATTTTTAGAATGTGCTCGTCGAAATATGGACTATCCTCAATAAAGTATCAAATATGCAAACAATATTGCACAGAGTGCCACACCATGTGCGAGAAAACAAGATGCATATCTATGATCCCATGGTTCTTTTCATCGGCCCATATCACCACGGCCGGTCGTCAGGGTTCCAAGAGACCGAATAACTCAAGAAGAAGATCGTTAATTTGACGTTGAACTCAAATGACAAAGATTTGTTCCGTCGCAAAATCCTCAAGCGGATTGATGAGGTCAGATACTTCTACGGTGGAATTTCGACACATGAGTTTGATGATGATGATGATGCATTGGCTCAAATGATGCTTCTCGACGCTTGCTGCGTCTTGCACATAATCAAGTTCGATGTAAAAGAGGTCGACTTATTAGTTCTTCGGCTGGGACGCACAACAGTTGTGTCCATGCTTCGTGATTTCTTAATGTTGGAGAATCATATCCCGTTTTGGATAATCAAGCTCCTAATCAACTTAACAGTTGAGGATGGGGACGAACTGCTATGCACATTCTCGAGTGATAGCAATTTTGCGGACTATAGACTCACAGTAGTTCAATGGAAAGAAGGATAAGAACCTTTGTACCTTATTGAAGCCCATCGCATTACTCTTTTCAAAGAGATCGGTGCTGATAGTAGATCCCAAAATATCGACCGACAAAATAACTATAGTCGAAGAGTTGCTTTTAAAATTCAAAGTAGCCCACGCATTCAGTGACTGAACTTAAAGCAAAGGGCATCCACTTCAGCTCGAGCTCTAATTGCTTAAAATACATGAGGTTTAATTCTAACTTCTTATATGGGGAGCTTTGTCTTCCTATTCTACATGTCACTAGCAATTCAAAAGTGTTCTTCTCCAACAATATAGCCTTCAAAATGTCCTCGGAATCCAATACCGACTATGCCGTGGCATCGTATATTACTTTCATGAAAACATTAATTGAGAATACAGAGGATGTTAACGAGCTAAAAAAGAAGGGCATATTGTTCAGTACTTTGGCGAACGATAATGAACAGGTTCAAATGTTCAAAGAGATTGACGGTCTAGATGATTATGGGTCGACAGCTCTTCTCGACGTGCAAATGAAAATTAACGAACATTGTTCTATCAAGGCTAACATGTGGATGACGGAACTAATTTACAAATACTTATTTAGAATGTGCTCGTCGAAATATGGACTATCCTCAATAAACTGCTCCTAGGCTCTGTGGAAGTAATCTCGTAAATGAAGGGGTTTTCTTCCCCTACCAAAGATATATTCCACCCTAGAACTGGATTGTTAGAGTCCGATGTTGCACATGAGATTTCAAAATTGTCAATATTATTTTTAAAAGAATAAATTTCGTACAATTGTCAATATTGTTTTTCAAAATTTTGGATCTTCGTTTATATTTGATATAAAAGCAATAAATATAAGAAGAAAGAAAAGACTAACTTGACCAAGTGGGTGTTTTTTCGCGTTGGTCCATGTATAATGGGGCTGATAAGCTCCCATAACAACCTATGTATCCTTATATCTCGCCACGGACCGTTGATTGATGTTGGCCGAACCAATAATCACATACTCATCATCTACTATCATTCTTTTGGAATGCATATATAACATAAATCGTCTAATTGATCGTGAAGTCGAATCTTGCTATTTTATAATTGTGCTTAAATATATATTATTGAAAATTTAAATTCCTGAACTTGAAAACAGATAAAAATGTTTGAACCAAAAAAAAAAAAATTGGAGACATGTATATTAGTTCCATAGTATAAACATGTTTGACGATTTCTCGTTGAATGAATGGTAACACCTTTGATTTTTCAATAAAAAAAATTATATCGATAAACATATCACTATGTAACATAAGGGATCTGTGTTTGTGTAAGTATTTGGTGTCACTTCAGTTGAAGCAGAACATACAAAATACTTATGCAAACATAATACATCAAATTGAAGAACAATTACATTATTTACACTTACGCTAGACGTTTCTTCTTTATGGCTTTCCTCTCGATTATCAAGACAATAGAAATTCAGATAGTCGGCTGGATGTGAATTCTTGAGATTGATAGATTTGAGCTCGTGAGTAATAATATTATACATCATTTGCATTGTTTGACTTTGCAACAATGAACAATTACATAAAATAATGTACACGTAGAACATTGACAATAAAAGATTCAACATAATGCAAAAAAGTAACGAATCAATTAGTTCTCCAAGCATGTTTTATATTTAAAATATTGATGAGCAGACACTAGATGCACTTCTTTGTCTAAACTGAAATACATGTCAATAAAGAAATCGTTGTACAGTGGGAATAAGGTTTACCCTCCGGCCACATGTGGATGATAATATAAACAACGAATCTCTCAGTTGCCCTTATTTTGCTGGCAACTTTCAAGCTAGTTATATTGGGATTAAATTATTAGCACATGACAACAACAGTTGTGGTACATTTATGTAACATTGATGCAATAGAAAGAGCTCAAAAAGTTGTTAGTTAAAAGAAATTTATTAGGCAAAAAAGTTAACAAATATTTTCGTCGAGTTCATATTACAGCACCAAAGTTAGGTTCAAATGGAAATTTAGGCCAAATACTATTGAAATGTCTTGCTAATAACCTATATTAGCAACTTACCTTAAGTCCACTATTGTTGTTAAAAGAGAGCAATCTAATTGTTTCTTCGTGTGATTATCTAAAACATACATGTTGTTAAGTGTATATTTTTACACTTAATTGCACCTTTTAATTGGAGCTTTTGGTGTGTTTTAACGATAATTGGTGCTTAAAATGGTTATTATTTGTATTTTAGGTACAAATCGAAGAATTGGCAACTTATGGGGTAAAAACTGCAAATTCGGAGAAAAAGTGGGCCAAAAGTAAAAAAATCAAAACGCTGAAGAATTAAAGACCGGACGGCCGTCTGGATTTCAAGGCTATTTCTCGCACGGGCGTCCGGGTTCACGAGGTGGCGCAGTGAAGGAAGTTTAAATACACAAGGAAACCGCCCTCTTATATTTTTGCACCATATTTAAAGGCCAAAAAGCACACAATAAGAAATCTATCTTTTTACACACATTCTAGGAGCAAGAGAACGGAGCAACGAAGACGAAGACTTGACGATTCTTCATCATAGTTCTCCCTTTACTTTTGTTCATAACTTTTATGAATTTTCGTATTTTTATTATGCTTTTCGTAGAGAACATGAGTAGCTAAGTTTTTATTCTAGGATTTTGTTGGAACCCTATGTGGTGATTCGAACCTATTTTTCTAATATTATGCAAGTTTAAATTCTTTGATATTTCTTCTATTTGATCTTATTTAGCGCATGAATGTAGCTAATTTATGTTGTTATATGTTATTGTTAGAATTGATTGACAGATCGTTTCAATAATTAGAACAAGGATAGGAGAGCCTTCGAGTAGTTTTCACCGGATGAGTGTGTTAGTTGCATGTGTTATCGTAGACATACAGATAATACCTTAGGTAGCCGTTTTCGAGACTTGTTATTTAATGCTTTATTCATAATAGGTTTGCATAGACATATAGTGAATCGTTTATGAATAATAGACCCATAATACAAGCGACAACGGGTTATGAGTAATTGAGTGTCTCGGGTTAATAATCGGGAATCGTAACTTGCATGATAGAAGTTAATTGGGTGATGAATTATCGCATAGGGGGGAGATAAAATCCTAGATCCGTTTGTATATTGATATTTTCTCGTGATTATTTGCTTTCTTAATTAGTTTAATTGTTTAATTGATTTAAATTGACAAACTTGCGTAGGCTGGATAAAAATCATAATTGTTAGAATTTGGTACTTAGGATTAGGTAATTTGAGTATTCCCTGTGGGATCGACATCCGACTCTCACGAGTCCACTTTTACTACTTGTTTGTGATACGTGCACTTGCGTGTTAGGTATTTCACACCAACAAGTTTTTGGCGCCGTTGCCGGGGAATACGGCTAAATTATTTATTTATCCTAATATTAAATTTGAGCAATTTTTCTTACTTCATCCGTTTTATTTATTTTATTTAATTATTTTATTTTATTTTTATTTTGTTTTAGGTACTTTTTATGCGAAGAGGACACGGCACGAACCTACTACCTCTTGATCCCGAAATTGAGCGAACGTTTAGGCAAGCCAGGAGAAATAAACGGATAGCTCAAAACGCTCCCGCAACGATTGAAGAAGAGATTAATCGTGGGGGAGGTACATCCTAAATAAGGTAATTCCTCTTAGTGATAGTGGAGGCGCTGGAGCGCGAGGGGGTGAGAACCGTGTTCGCATATCCAGGAGCCTCATCAATGGAGATACACCAATCAATTTCGCGGTCGGGTCTGATCACCAACGTGCTACCGCGTCATGAGCAGGGCGGCATCTTTGCTGCCGAGGGCTACGCGCGCGTTTCGGGTTCCCCCGGTGTGTGCATTTCCAGCTCCGGCCCCGGAGCGACAAACTTTATGTCCGGCCTGGCGGACGCTCTCTCGGACAGCATCCCGCTAGTGGTGATAACCGGACAAGTCCCCAGATGTGTCATGGGGACTGGCGCTTTCCAGGAGACACCTGTCGTCGGCATCACTAAATTGGTCACTAAGAGGAATTACCTTATTCCCGGATAGCATTCAGTCACTTTTTCCCACCGTTGCTCAAAGTTCTTGAGCACATCATAAGCAGCCGGGCCTTCAATTTGACCATGTAAATCATGGAACGATTATCTTTGTCCCTATTATTTGTCTTTAATATGGCATCATAAGCAGCCGAGCCTTCGTGTCTCCATTGTTTATGTGTGTGTGTGTGTGTGTGTGTGTGTGTGTCTATATATATATATATATATATATATATATATATATATATATATATATGGTTAGTTTTCGTCGTTCAAAATGTCTTCAATTGTCCCAACGGAATTCAAGTGCAAATCGCGTACAAATCTCGTGCATGTTATGTGATTATACGTGCGAATTCATTCTTATTTTTCTAAGCGAACATTTTCAGCAAGAAATGATGATTCAAAATAAAAGGAATGTGATATTCTTTAATATTAATTCGTTGATATTATGTAGAGAGACATTTGAAATATTTAGTATGATAATGTGATGTGATGTGATGTGCAAAAATATGTTGGAATATAGTATTTGATATCATTACTCTTAATTTCTTTAAATACAGGGGGATTCAATTCATATTATTTTAAGACATGAGTCACTTTAAATATTTACATCCGAAAATCTTATTAGCCGATACTACTTGGTCGATTATATATATATATATATATATATATATATATATATATATATATATATATATATATATATATATATATATATATATATATATATATTTGTGTGTGTGTGTGTGTGAAGTTTTAGTGCTTAGAAATATTTCAGCCAAAATAAAAAATACAAATTTACTATCTCCTTCATTTTTTTCAAACATAACTCATCTTGCATATAATCCTTGGATGACTATTTATGCAGTTAGCTTATTTTAATATTTTACTAACTTGAGCATAATTTGTTTGTAGGTTATAATGGCAAATCATTTTTTTATAATTAAAATCCATTATGGAGGCATATTTACGGAGTTTGAATATGTTGCGGGTTTGGCTTACATTGAAAGAGATGTTTAACCTGATTAATGTCGTATTTTGAGATAATTGGTTTAACTAAAGAACCTAGATATTCGGTAACTTAGATTGAGAGAGATGTTTACGCTGATGTGATGCCCTATTTTGAGGTATTTGGTTTAACTAAAGAAATTAGACATTCAGTTACTAATGTGGTTTGCTTAGGATTGTCATTTGAAATTGGGCTCATGATGACACCTAGAGTTCAACATTATAGAGAAATTAAGAAGAAAAATAAGCAAAAGAATACAACCGAATGAAAAAATGAGGCACATATAAGCTTTAAATCCTTACACAATATATATAATCAACATAGGGGTAAAAATGTCAAAAAAAAAAAGGACAAGGCTATTATAACTGTTGTTGACAAGAAAGTCAACATGTGAAGTCGACATATTCAAACATAAAATTAAATCAATTAAATCGTCAGGTAGATAATACTTTGATCACGAAATTCTTGGCAGATCATCCGAGTTTGCAAGATATCCGTACGCACATCAATACGGAGTGAAATTTGTGTTCGAAGCCTGCAATAGGCTTCTTGGATCCCAAACACACACATAATTACACATACATCCATGTCTATACATACTTAGTGGGTAGTTATACATTTAATCAAATATGTTATTTAATTCACCTAATATAAATAACTAGGTGTAGTATCTAACTCCCCCAAATTGTTAAGGCAAAAGTTGGTATGGCTTGATAATTGATATTGGAACAGGAAATTATAATCTCATTTCATTTAATAATATTCTCAACACACAGTTTGAACATTACATTTTTAAGCAATTGGAAAGCCCTTCAATAACAACTTTAATTTGATACAATATTACATTTTACTAATACAAAAGGTAGATCAGTTACCCAAACATAATTGATTATATCTAAATTATATCTAAATTTCCAACAGTTTGAAATGAGTACTTCAACAACTTTATTATAAACAAGCCCCACTATATATATATAAGGTACGTTCCAACTATATTTCTCTTGCATTACATTTAGCGACAACAATATATCGTCTCTTAAACAAATTATTTATATATAGTGTCCTTGCATAATTTATTTAGACTATATATCTTATATATAAAAGAAAGAAACGTTGGACAACCCTAGAAAAACCCTAATGGCATATTTGTAATTAATTAAATCTTCTAATTATTAAATCTCTTTTTCGTTTTTTGTAACTTTCGCTCCTAATTTTCAGCCCTAAAATCTCTAATGCACAACTAATTAAATCTTCTAAATATTAAAATCTCTTTTTTTTTTTTGTTTTTTTGTAATTTTTTTGTTTTATTTCCAGCATTATTTTTTGTATTATTTTATCTCCAGCATATTTTTTTTTTATTTTTATTTGTTTTCGAATTTTATCACATTTTTAATATTATTTTATCTCCAGCATATTTTTTGTATTTATTTATTTATTTTCCATCTCAATCTTTTTTGTTGGATTCCCAAAAACTTCCAACACTTTCAACTTCTCTCTCCCACTTCAACACGTTTACATTTTCTCTTCATATTTATATCCGACCTCTCAACTTCTCAACCCATTCATATTTAGCTATTTTGCAAAGTGAAACCAGAAGATACGGTAAGAATTCTCCCTTTCAACTTTTTTTCACTCTCTCTATACATTTTATTTGCATATGTGTTTTTCTCATTTTCAGCACAGACTTTCCTTTTCATAATGCTTCAATCGGTGGATTCATAAATAATAAATGAAACAGGGTGAGAAGCATCGTAAAATTAAGAATTTTAAGCTGCATGATAGATAAAGATTGTGGCAATAATGCAATTTTCGGAAGTTTCTCAGTCAGGTAGGAGTTTTTTCTCAATGATTACAGATTGACCCCGTTGTGGCTATGATGCAATTTCCGGAAGTTTCGTAAACTGGCAGGAGTTTCTTCAATAATTAATATAAAAAACATATGAATAATGTATTGCTTTCTATTTACAGTGGCAAATAATAGGAAATCAGTTGTTGACGGCCCTATCATGGAAATCCACTGCTATTATCAAGCAAGGTATAATAGTTTTTAACTTTATTGTTGTTAATCTTCAGTTTCCTTGCAGTTAGATATAAAACTTGCTATCTTGGCTTTATCTGAGGTGAACATAATGGATGTGCTTTAGTATTTCAAATCATAAGTTTGGTAAGAACTATAATGTCTCTTGATTGTGGTTATTAAGTATCTAAGTGTATTACTATGTATATCATGTATGCAGTTGTATGAACACTCAATGCAATACATTGAGATGATAGTCAATTGGTGTAAGTGATGCAATACTGACTTCAAAACTTTTTTGTGTTTCATAATAGTTTCTATCGTTGGACTTGCAATCATGGCATTTTTGTTCCTGCAGTCATTGGTTTTATGTGCTTCCGTGAAACTCTTATCTTCTTAGTGTAGTCACATTTTCCACGTCTTATTTTACTATGTGTAAATCATTTCAGTTCTGAGCGTCGATGCAATCGATATGTCGGGGAAGCATGAAGTTGATCTTGACACAAATATATGGAAGGTTAGGAGAATGGCTTAGTTACGATGCAAGATGCAGAGATAGCCTTTTCCGATGATATGTTGTCGATAAAATTTGCTTATATATATTTTATTTTTTGTTTTGTGTAGTAAGTACTTAGTTTACTATGTTCCACTGATGAATTATTAATGAATGATTGTAATAAAAATTTTCATCATACGAATACATCAAATGTTTGTGTATATACTTACAACATCAAAACATGCAATTTATATATATATATATATATATATATATATATATATATATATATATATATATGAACTATAGTAGTAGTTATTGATCATGGGCAGAAGACAAACGTGTAGTTGGTACCACCTGGGCAAGTGAAAGTGCTCGTCGGGCCATTCTGGGTGTAGCTATAAGCATCGGGGCACATCTTCTTAAAATACCTTGAATATCCCGTGGGCCCACAACTTCTTTGGCCGTTAGTGCAGCAATACTCATTAGTGCGAAAGACGGTGCACGAGTTGTTGCATTCCCGGGGCCTGCCGCTCATTCGGACACTGTTCGTTCATGAGGGTCGTGCACCTCATGCTACGACAACCATTGCTCGTGGGACTGAACTCCATCGGGATATAGAACCTGTCCAGTAAAGAAATGTCGAGCAAGTCCAAGTTGCTGAACTGATTCATAGCGTACTCCGTCAGGGTACTGGGGGCTGGCCGTATGCCTGGCACTCCAGGCGACCGTTGGACATGTGGTATTTGCTATTTCTTTTATTAAGGAGAATCGCGCAGTTAGTGGACATGTGGCATTTGCTATTTCTTTTATGAAGAGGGAATCACGCAATTGCAATTTTCACAGGGATAGTAAATGCATAAGCTCATTATTATACTGTTGATTTTTCAAGTTTTCGTCAATTTTAACAATACCTTTTGCATTTATTTAGGGTTTTTGCTTCAAAGATCTATCGACGAAGAAAAACACCCAGTTATTATATTGCTGAATTTTCAAGTCTTCGTCAATTTCAACCATCCCTTTTGCACTTATTTTCTTTGCCTCAAACTTAATTTATGAAGAAAAAATAGCTAATATTAGAATTAAAATAAGGAAAATGATACAATAATATTTAATATTTGAGTAATTTGTTAAATTTTTTATTCGCTAAATGTCCTTTAATTACTCTCCAAACATGCAAAAATGAAATAAAATTTAAATTAATAATTATCCAATTAATAATTATCGAATGTGTAATATAATGCATAGTTGTGAAATTTTAGCTGAGAAATTGTTACTAGATATACAATTCTTGTAAAAATGGAAAAAATAGGAATTAATAGAACATGTATAACTAGAGTCGGGGCCACAAAGAAACTAACATAATCTATGACCTTTAGATCTAGAAGATTTATATGGTATGTTTGTATATTAACTAAATTAATTAATTAAACAAAAAGGTTTTTTGTTTTTTTTAGAAACAAAATCAATTTTCATTCTCAAACACAT